GTTTTTTTTTTTGTGTAGATAATTTAAGAAACCAATTTTTATGCCTGTTCTCTCCCTGGCCCAATAAGTAATATTTCCATGGCTGGGGTCAAATTTGACATTTCTGGCTAGCCCAGATCTGCGAAAACCCACTGTGTTCCCTTCCAACCATGCCCATTATGTGATTTTGTGTATTGGCAGCTCTGCAGTAATATGTAGGTGATGCTTTGTGAGGGGGGTCACCTTTACAATAATATAAACACCCTCTTTCTTCTTTTCCCATTAATAAATGTAACAGAGAGGCTAGAACAGACCCCTAGAGCCTCTGCTTACTGTGTTGAGGTCACATCAGGAGCAGAGATAGAAAATAGATTTACATCTCTTAAGCTCTGAATGAATTTGTTGTCTGCTCACTTAGCTGATCTTGAAAACCTTTGGGAATAATTCTGTCTAAAACAGGTTCATAGAATATGAAGTACCCTCAGCAAGAGATTTCTTTAGTCACCACATCTGAAGAGAGATGATGGTGCCCTACCTCCAAGCTTTAAAGAAGACTTGTCACTTCAATGGCGTTGCCTCCTGCACTATCTGAGAACCCATTTGAGTATTTTTGGTAATGCATGTGGATATTTTTAAGGTATTCCATGTTCTTTCCAATGTGAATTACAGCTGAAATGCCTTTCTGATTTCTAGACTTCTCTTAGAATGTTTCCATATATGTCTTTGCAATGAGAACACAAATACAAGGTGTTTTGAAATTCAAATGTTAAATGAAAGATTGTCAGATAATAGCTTTAAAATCGTTTTGCTCTCAAATGAGTGCAATCTTTTCACAATATATGTTAGTAAGTTAGTTCTTGTTGGAAGACTTCTGCCACAGGAATCTCAGTGGTGATGTTAAATGCCCCCATGAATCATCAGAAGCTGTTTATGTAGCCAGAAGCTTCGTGGTTTTCTACATTTACTTCTTCTGACTGCAGATTAATCAGCTGTGAGTCACTTTCCAGCAAATAATTTTTCATTGGTGCAATTTTAAAATAGATGCTCAAGAGAGATTGTCTGTCTACCTGAGGGACTCACACCAGTCTATAAGTAATGTTTATGGCAACCTTTTTATGATTACTTAATCTTTTTGTGCAATAGGAAAGCTGTTATTTTATTATTCTTCTAAACTGTCTCCATTGTAATTGATTTAAAACTTCAGTGAACCTGACAGATCATTTAATTTCCAAAAGTTTTGATTCTCTGGCATGTTAGAAGAGCATGTGTGAATCTGTGCAGCATGGACAGATAATTAAAACCCTTCAGTAGAAATCAAAGGTATATTTTAATTTTTTTTTTAGCTTTTGTCATTGCTCTTGGAAATAAGGGAACAAATCATCCCAGAACTGACCATTCCTTTTAAGTTTTTGAACTGTGTTGTAAAATTCTGGGCATCCAGAAAGTAAATGTTGCAGATATGTCCACATTGGTTCCTGCTGACACTCATGGTAAATCATTATGAATTACAACATAAATGTACATCAGTATTGTTTCAATTTGTAAACTATTCAGGTGGGCTCTCACAGATAGGTTATTTTATCATATAAACATTAGCTGTGTAATACCTGCTGCTGTCTGGGGCTACTGCTTTTTAACTCCCTCAGAAATAAAAAAAAAATACCTAAAAAAGTTTTCCTGCATATGAAAGTTAATAAGATTTTTTTTTCATTAGAACTACTCCTAGTTTTTGCATTGCACTGGGATTTAGACTTTTTTTTTCTTTATATTCCTGTCCCATAATTTCTATATTTGAAGGCTTCCCTATGGAAAAGGACCTTGTGAGCTTTGGATATGTCTTTGAGTTCCCTTATCAGATTCTTGTGAAGATGGGAAAGGTAGGCAGGATGCTAATATCATTTGTGGCAGTCTAGAACTATCAAAGATTGTTTCCTTATGTATATTTAACCCAAATATTAGTGCTTACAAATATTCTATGTGGAATTACTTAACTCCCTTAATGCACATAGTTGAGCAAATAATTACAAATTATTTACTGTTTTCTTTAAAGAATTGCTGAGTTGAGAATTTTGAGCTCACAGGAATGTTGAGCAGTGAAAAATAACTACTACCTGTCTTCCTACAGTTTTTCAGAGATCAGAGAAGAAAGTATTCAGCATATGTAAATGATCTGAATAATTGTAATTTAAGTCATGGAGGGAAAAAGATTGTCCATTACAATTCCATTTAAACCTCAAACCCAGCTCTCAGCACTGAGGAAAAGTACCTTATCTTGTATTTTACTAAAGGCACACTGGTGCAACTTTTTTGTATCCATTTTAAAAAATATATTATTAACTAATTAAATGAATTAAAATAATTTTAATTTTATTTTTATGTTTAATATTGTATTATTATATTATTATTTTAAATTATTAGATATTATTATATAATGTTGTTAAATTAATAAAAAACATTATTTATTTATTTACTTATTTGATATTATTTATTTATTATACTATTTATTACATTTATACTATGGTAGAATCAGCTTGAGTGGCATGCCCAGCATTTGTATTGCCAGTGCATCATGCCACCAATCAGTAAAGGGACCCAAGGGTGGTGTCTGTACATAAAATAGAAAAATGGCCCATTTCTTGAATGTCATTAGCTGTAAGCTGCTGCTCATTAGCATACACATTACACTGCACCACACACGGGGCAGTCCAGATGAAACAAGTCTGTGTTAACATATTGTTCTGCTTGTTAGTTTTACTGAGTGTGAATGAATGAGGGTAGTTTTCCACATCTTCCTCATCAAGAAGAGGCAACTGTGACCTTTGTGAGCAGCAAAGATTTGTGTTTTCTTTAATGCAACTGAAAATGTACATAATTAGTGATTTTGCTGTGGAAAAGGTCACCGTGGTCTTTAAAAGTGTCTAAAAGCTATCTTAAAAAGTGCAGAAGATGTCCTCCTTTTATAAAGGCAGAGGAGGCAGGGTTTAGGAATCTCCTAGTCCCCATCTCAGGGTTACCAAGGTTCAGCAACTCTTGATCCACTCAGTCTCTGGTGGCAGCCTCAGCCTCTTCCCCTGGGTGACTTGACTGTGCTATTCCATTTATCAGAAGAGCAGCTCCTTGAGATGGAGAAGGAGTGGGACACTTCTTACTGATATATTACTTAGCAATTATTCTGTTTCCTATCTATATGTCATATTAAACATAATTTCACAAAGGTATTTATGCTTATATTTACAGAAAATACCCTCAAGTCAACTGAAAAGGAGTTATCGCTGAGTATAACTCAGTAAGGAATAATCTATTTAAATTTCCCTTTATTATGGAATGTCTCCTGCCCTGTATGTTTAGATCCCAAATAAGAGGGACAATGTCCTGGGTTACATCTTTAAATTGAAGATATATAATTAGTCAGAATAACTTCACTAAAATTAAATCC